TTTGTGAAAAGGAAAAAACAAATTAAAATTTCGAAATGCACATATATAGAGATTTGGTATTGCTTGATAAACTGAAAAATTAAATATTAAAAAATTAAGTGTGAAAATTTGAATTTTGAAAATAAATTTATGCTAAAATATAATTTGGTATGTTGTTAAAAATTAAATATTGAATGGATATTATCTTTAATTTTTTGAAAAAGTAAAAAGTGATTTTATTAGGATTTAACTTTAATTAAATTTCTTTAATTTCAAAAGAAATTAACTAAAGTTAGAAAAGACATAACACATAATAAAAAAGAAAATCATATGATTAATGAAATTAAATTACAAAAATTTTCTTAAATAGCATTGTTGAATATATTAAGAAGGTTTTACCTACTTTATATTTTTCAGCATTTTTCAAAAAAAAATTCCTTTCAATGGTTTCTTAAGTAAGTTATCAAACACATCAAAGAAATTAAAACATTAAAAATTTAATTAATTTTCAATTGTGCAACACGAAATTTAGGTAAAAATTTTGAAAAAAAAACCTAAAATATCAAGAAAATTTATTAAAAAAAAAAAAAAAACTCAATACAACCAAGTGAGAATAATGAAAATTTTTTAGAAAAATTGGAATAGTCAGAAATAATTATTCTAGTTGAATTTTGACAATATCAATGTATTTATTAGATTATTAAAAAAATTACAAATTATGTGTGTTGATGATACGTTTATGCAAGTGACAATGCTGGACTAGCAAAAACAAGGTGATGAGTTTTTAATTAATTTTTATTTATTTTCATATTTAATTTAAAATAATTAAATTTTAATCATGAAAGGTGAATATATATTATTGGCCGTTAGATAAATTAGTGAAAACTTCTAACTTCTACTACTTTTTAAGTAGTGGAAAAGATATTTTCCTGTGAGTTTGAGTATGTATAATGATACATATTAATGCTAATTTATATACATCCTTAAAAAAATGCTAATCTTCTCATTTAGGATTCCATCCTGAAGTCATCTTAGTTTTATTAAAATTTTAGAGAACAAATTTATCTAAATTGAATGGGAGAGAGTCTCAAAGAGTTGTAAATTAAAGCACTAATTATTTTAATTTTATAAAAAGTTAAAAAAATAAAACTAATAAAAATATATAATTTCATTCGATTCAAATTTTTTTCAATTTTTCACTTCCTAACTCAAATTTGATGTGACTTTAATATATATTTAATATCCGAACTTAATCTGAATTAAATAAAAAAGCTAATCCAAACTTAATGAAACATTATAATTTTGAATCGATCTTTAATTTTCTCAATTTTTTTCTCATCCCTACCAATGATCCAATGTTGGTTGTTAGAAGAGATATATAATGAAAAGAAGGGGAAAAAAAAAAAACAGAAGAATTAATGAGTAATAATTAACAAATGGTTTTTTATTGAAAATTAATTTAGTAAATAACAACTCAGAGATTAATGTATTTTTTTTATCAAATCTAATATTTTTCAAACTAATAAAGCAAGTGTGCTTTTTTTTTTTTTTCAAATTTCAAAGTGTAAATATGCTTTTCCCAAATGTAAATCTTAAATAGCTGGAAAGCCAATACAAGAATATACTAGTGTAAATCAAACAAAGTAGAGAAAACAAATCATGACAAGCATGAAACACAACAAGTCAAATGTTCTCCTGGTTTATGAACACCATAAAAGAAAACTGAAAATTGGTATTAAAAATTACCAGTCTCGAGGCTCTCCCGACTGACTAATTAATGCTTGTGCAAGACCTCGAATATTAGGAAAAACAGTCAAGAAAAGGAATAGCTAGCAAATAACAAGAAGCAAACTTTCCTTGCTAGCTATAGACGTGTTAGAAGATGTATATATAAGCACTTTGTAGTAAAGAAATACTAATAAGGAATCACTATGTTATACATATATATTTTTTGCTACAAATCAATAATATATATAGATAGTGACAATTGGTGTTGTGACTGATTTTCTCTAACAAAGAAAATGGAGTGGAAAAAGAAGAGAAAGAAAAATGAAAATGCAAAGAAAAATAGGTACTGCAAATTAAAGCAAAAGGAAAGACATAATTTATGAATCAATTGTTAATTGTTGTCGAATGGTCTCACAATTATATATTGTATCTGTATTTATTTATTTTATATTTAATATATGTAAAATATCAAAATTATTATGTCATAATTTATATTGATACATTAAATATAAAATTTATTTTATTTTTATTAAATTTAGATATAATTTTTATTAAAATTTTAAAATTTATAAAATTATTATAATTATTTTATATTTAAAATTATCAAACCTAATCACAACAACATTCAAAGCAAATTTCAAGGTCAAATATTAGTAAGTATTTTATATAGATTTCTCTTTTATCAAACTTTTTCCTCTTAAGGACCTAAATACCTCTTTAAACACTCAGGCCAAATGTTTAAAACAAATAAGCCAGTCCAAGAGACTATGTAAGCATGCTGTGACAGTTAAGGATGATAATGTTATTATAAGATTGAAAATTACTTCATCCAATAGCCTTAAGGAAATTTCAAAAACAAAAAAAAAAAAGAAAAAAACTTGATACATCCATTTCATTAAAAAATTCTCCGGCCTTCCATCCAACCTGTTTAAAAACATAAATCCAATGACTCGACTGAGAAGTTGTTGGTTTTCTGACATTTTAGGTGGCCTCACTTTACCTTATCAGCCAATTAAATTAACAACATAGCCTTTCTAATCACTCAAAGTAAAAGATAAGATTGATTTCCAAGCAGCTTCTCTTTCTCATTTAGTGTTAATTTATGGAACCGATCAAAACAATCAATTATAAAAATTATTGTGTTGAAATTATATCAATACATTAAATATAATTTATTTTTAGTTTTTTTTTTGTATTTATAAATAATTTTTACTAAAATTTAAATTAATTTATTTTTTATATTTTTATTATATTATTGTATCTAAATATCTATTTAAATACCTTGTCCAATTATTAAAAAATAAAAAAATAAACCCAGTACAACACTGGAAAAATGTCCAAGAAACTCTCCGTAAGCATGCTGTGACAGCTGAGGATGATAATATTATTGTACGATTTAAAATTACTTCATTCAATAGCTTTAACGAAGTTAAGAAAAAAAAAACTTATACATCCATATCATTAAAAAATTCTCCGCCTTTAATTTCCATCATACCAGTTTAAAAACATAAATCCAGTGAATTGACTGAGAAATTTTTAGTTTTCTGAGATTTTAGGTAGCCAATACAGCGGGGTTCGTCTCCGGAAAAGAAAGGTTTGCCATAGGGTTTATATATTTACATTTTCACACTTTGCCTTATCAGCCAATTAAATTAATAACATAGCCTTTCTGGCATATTCTGTTAATAATCAAATTATAATAAAAGATGAGATTCAAATTCAATTTTCCCAACATAAACGTGTGAGTCAACTTCATTGAAACTTCCTGTACAAAATAAAAACCTTCATTGAAAGTCAAGTCATGAGGAAAAATTAAAGCAAATTGAAGCGTAGGAGGGTGGATTGCAGCAAGCAAAGCAATCGAATAAATAGAAAAGGAACCATAAAAAGGTACTTAAATAATTATTTAATTACATTCAAAATTTTTAGCTCCCACCATCTTTACTTTCATTGCACAAGCAATCCTTTTTCGCAGTTTAAAGATGTTCGTCTCTTTTGATACTGTGAGCCATATCACAATGTCAAATTTTTTCAGTCTTTCAAAAATTGTTTGCCTATGAAATCATGACGGTTGCTTTATCCATTCCTCCATTCAACAAATTCCAATCTCTTGAACATCAACACCCGTTACACTATAAAATCAACCAAGTTAAAAATGCAAGTCTTAACCTAAAAATTATAGTGTAAGAGGAAAAGGAATAGCATTTCGTAAATGAAAATAAGTTAAAATTTGTTTACCTGCTTGTTCGTCAATAATTATGATTTATTTAATTAATGAACATCGAAATGTTACTCTTAATCATTTATTAAGTTTAATAAATAAACATAAACAAATAAAAATTAAACTTTTCATAAACTACTTATCAAATATTTTGTTTGTTTATATCCTATATACTTAAGGTCAAAGTTCACTCTTCATTCACGTCTAGTTTGTTGGGCTCTCAACCAGCCAAAAAATTACACACTTGGACGCTTCCTTCCAACCGAATTCTCAAACGAAGCTTAAAAATATGGTACGGCAATGTCGGAAATGAGACACTACTTTTTTTTAAAAAGAGTGATACATAAAAAAAAAAAAAAAAAAAACCCAATCTTAGTATATATCTACAGGCAAAAATGGAAGAACATTTTTTAAACAATTTCAGCATGGAATAGGGGGAAGCCTTGGATTTCAGCGACAGATTGAAAAACTGTATTAGGCATTACAATACATTATATCAGAATTTACATATCGAATAAGGTCTAAACCCATGGTAATGTCCTAGTATTTTATCAAATTCACTTGAAAAAGCGAAGAATCCATACTGATGACCAATATCCAAATGCAACTCTCCTCCTCAATCCGGCCCAGAACAAGCATTATTACAACATTCTATGTAATATGTGTGTAATGCAGGAGCATAAATAAAGGCAGAGCATAATTATGATTACATTAAATTACTTTCAAAATTAAGAATGAACATTGACCAGTGACATCAAATTAGAGTTTGATACTTACAAATTTGAATTAGTTGGGGCCATTTGTTTCATCTTGAACATCGTCATCTAGCAACAATCTGAACTTTAGAATCTTGTGAAGTCAGGCAACTGGCTTTACTTGCTTTCTTGGAGCTTGGTTTTGATCTATTATCCGTTTTCCTGAGAAGAGATTTGCTTCTGATGGACCTGTCTCTTCACGAACTACAGGGGAAGCTTCTACAGAGAATAATGGACACAACAAATTCTTAATTTAAACATGAAAAACATTTGAAAAACAGATTAAACCGAATGAACATAAAAACAATGGAATTGGGGTGTACAGTAATAAATAAAAGGGTCCAACCTGTAAACCAAATGAGAAAATCATGGAAGCAATTTTTCCATCAAACGTTATATGCAATTGAAAGAGGTGAACACAGTGAGCTAGTATGAATGCTAATAAACCGAACCCATGCCTTATCATTAAACAAATCTCGGCTTGAGGTGGGAATGCCACAAAGGTAAAAACTGACAAAAGGGAGCTACATGCCACTAATTTCATATGACCTCCTGCTCATAAGTTCTCCAATTGGAATAAAGGTTTCAAAAAATTCAGAATAATAGACTCAACTTGACCTACCTCAAAGAGGTAGATTATAATAGAATTAGCGGCCAAAAAGATTTTTTTAAGAACCTCTGCACCTAAGACATACAACAGACAGCAGTAAAAAAAAAACCCATAAAAGAAATTAAAACTGGTAAATCAAGAAAATCTGGTTCCAGTGGTATGTTCCCTGTTTTCATAGTTATTCTTCTACAGTTTTTTGTTTACCATCATATAAAATCTAATGAAAAGAGATTTAAACTTTCAATCCTCCATGTATTTGGTTAAGAACATGTAAAATGATAACAAAAGAGAGAATGGGAGACCACTAATGACTACCCAATTAAGCTCAAAGTTAGTATGATAGGAAATGTTGCTTACCATTTTCAGAGAAAACAAAGCAGGTCCCAATTGTTTCTTCATATTCTCCAATTTGTAAATTGAAAAAGATATTTACTTAAAAAATGAAAATTTCATGACTTAAAAACTTTTGCATGTGAGCAATTGCTTGATGTTTGTTAAATATCAAACCAGAGAGTCAAAATATAGCATAGCTTAGGGCTATTGTGGACCGCGAAATCCCTAGTACATAGTAAAATTTATGAAAAACTAACTACTTTTGATGTGTGAGAGGGATGAGTCTAACGAAATGGCAAAGAACAAAGAGAAGAAAATGGTTGGCAGCAAGAATCATTTAGATGCTAAGAATTCTAAAATATAGATTGTCTAGGTTGATTGTGAATGCTAATGATAAACATCAATAACAGTGCCTAGTTGTTGGGTAAATATGGTCATCAATGAATAACACTTCCAAAACATAAATAACCTGGAACCTTTCTTGCTCAAGGTATTTCAAGATTTTGCAAGATAACTCACCAGCTTCACTTTTTCATCTATGATTAACATTTGATTCACCGTATCCAGACCCTGAAATTCAATAACAACCTGATAATCACAATGTGATCATAAAACAAAAACAAAAATGAAATCTTAGGTAGAAATGACAACAGAATACCAGTACATCAAGTAAACAAATTTTCTTTTCCAACAAACAATCAAGAAAACAAACACTATCCTCTATTTAACCGAAGTAACAGGAGTGAGAAATGAGACACAAGAAAGGGTAGAGAAAGAGTGTAAGGATGTAGGCAGTGTCTAAGGCATACTTCTAAACATACTATCAAAAGGTATAGTAATGCATTTCAATCAAACCAAATTTAAATTCAGCTGCAGCACAGCTCCAACCAAAGACCCAAAGACATAAACAGGCCCAAATTTATTCCATCAAACAACTAACACAAAGCAGGCATACATACATATATATACGTATACACAAGTTTTGTATAAATTGAGTTCTTCCATAATTAAAGCAGTGGCATGAATACTAGTGATTGTGAATGCTACATCTGCGGCAATTGATAAGGGAACTGCCTTCACACCACCTACAATTTAAATGTTCAAAAATGCAAGGAAAAAAAAGGGTAATTCTAAGTGAATATCTTTTAATTGCCTTGAATTAATTCCTTCTTTTACGTTGATTGAAGGATAAATTTATTGGACTTTGATTGTTATGGTTTTGCATGGGTAACCGCTGTTGTCCCGCTATTTACGGCCGCGAAGCTATGTGTGTGATTGGTTACGCTTATCTCCATTGCGGTGGATAGCGGCCGCTACACCGCTATTCAGCCGCTATTTGAACCCCTACGAGTGAGTCACACAAATCCCGTTCAACTCACCCTCAAGATTCGAACTCAAGATTAAAACATTAAAAACATAGCTTTAGGTTTCAAATACTAAAAAAAAGTAGCAAGAACCAAAAACCCAGAAATCTAAAAAATTCATAGAACTAAAAAAACGTGAGATTCAGATTTCAGAGCTTACTGAAAGAGTATAAAGTGCATTTGAAGGAAAATCAATCTGCCCAGAAACAGTATCAAGATCAAGAAATCCATACTCTGACCCTCCTTCCCCTTCATGGTCATCACCCTTCTTATTTTCCTCGATTACTTTAACACCCACATATTAAAAAAATAATAATAATAATAATTCGGTGGAAGCTGTTGCTGTTTGATGAGAGTTTGTAAAGATGTAAAACTCTGCGTTTTATGTATAAAAAATTTGAATACACGCGCGGGAGATAGACCTGAGAAAAAAAGGAAGTAATTTAAGTTTCCGACGTGGCGATGCTTTGTAGTTCCTTGTATCGTTCAATTTTCTGACGAAAGAGCTTGGCGAAAAGACAAGTAGTGCCATCCACGACCACAGACAAAACTGAACTTTCTCTACTTGACATTAATCTTGCTTGGACACGTCACTTAAAAGAAACTTCCATATACATGTTAAGATATTACTGATTGCAATTATAATGTTACCTTAAGACCGACTTTACTGAATCTAACTTTATTTTCTTCAGGTAAAAACTGGAAGAGTTGAGTTAAAACTGGAAGAGTTGAGTTGTCACTGGTCTTTCTCTGTCTTTTACATTTCCTTTTGTCATTTTTTAATTTATTAATAATTTACAATACCAAAAAGCAAATAAAATAGCAATCTAATAATAATTCAATATCGGGATGAGTTGGCGCAGTCAAAGGGAGCTTTTTGAAAGGTATGATGGAATTGGAAGAGAGTTTTGAGGTTTTTGCAGTCTGTGGAGCAATCAATCGTCGGATATGGCCCATACCTCTGAAGGCAACGCAACTATTTCTTTTTTTAATTAACTTTTGATTATTTTAATTGCTTTTAAAATAAATAAGTTTTATGTCCTTTGATTTTTGTCTGTTAAATGGAGAAATTATTTAGAATTTAGTTTTGATTTCGATTCTGTTTGGTCTTTTGTGGTTTGCTTTTCTGGCGTGTTTGGATATAAAAGGAAATGCGTGGTTTAGTTTTATATGGAATAATTAAGACTTGACGAGTGATAAAATATGGTTTACAGCAACTTTTGAAGTAACGAAAAGGGAAATAGCATGAAGCAAGTAATAAAATCAACGACTAAACGAAGGTTTAACTTATGGTTAAGTGGGAATTTGGCTGAATTCTAACCTGCTTTAACAGTAGATTATTGAGCATTTAGTTGGGTTTTATTTCTAACCCGCCTTAACAATCGATCGTTATATAGATGTTATGGTATTTGTTTGGCTAGAAAAATAAATTTCTATTTCTGGTATGATCTTGTTTTTAGTTTTCTATCAAGCTGAATTGTGTTACAGTTGCTAGTAGTGTTCAAGTGAGGAACATATGAGTTTTTCTTGTTGCACTATTCTATAATATCAGGAAAAAGAAAAGGAGTATCATTTGAGCTCACAACAAGAACCCGAAAGCAATTAGATGAATTTGAAATATTGGGCCTATTGGAGAAGAAAAGATGAAAAGATGTTATTGAAGTTTATATCTCTTGTTTCATGTCCCTAGCATTTTTAGGCCTCCTATGTTTCTGGATCCACCTGTTATAGATGCTGCTATCAAAAGAGTTCTGGTTACTCAACACTGATTATCAGTTTGATTTACCAGATGCAGATAACAACTGGAAGGTATCACACGTTGCTAATTAGCAACTCATCAGTGTACTCTTGTGGTTCTAGTTTGTGTGGTGTCCTCGGACATGGTCTTGAAACAACACAATGTCTAGCATTTACAAATATTAACTTCCTTTACCCACCTAATGTGATCCAGGTGTCAGCTTCTCAGAATCATGCCGCATTTATTTTACACTCTGGAGAGGTTTGTTACTCATTTCAGTTTGCCATGTTTTTTTGATAGCAATAGCACACTCAGGGTGCATTTTGAATAGGAGCCTCACATTATATTTCCCTAGCAGGTGATGTCAATTCTTTGTATTTGCTTATGCATGTTAGTGTTTGATGGGTTATGAATGTTTGATCCTGCTGCCTTTGGAAAAGTCAGATGTTACCTGACTTGAATGCTGATAAAATCAGTAAGTGTTATGATTAAAGGCAAGGTTGCATCTTTTACCTTTGAGTAAATATATTCTGAGATAACTGGCTAGAGCTACATCCGGTGAATACCTATTTAACTACTATTTGTCGTGGACATGGTAGCAAATGCGAATTGTTAATACATAGGTAACATACCATGTAGCATGTTCACATGCTTTTCTAATTCATTGTTTGGTTGTCTAGGTTCTCAATGCATTGACTGAACAATTACTGTTCTCTAGTGAGAGATTTAACTTAAATCTGAGTACCTAAGATGCATCTTTCTGAAGTCTAGACCTAATCACTCTAGTTCTTATTTATTAAACAAAGGAAGTCTTTTAATGTATTAAGTGCTGGATCAATTGCTAATATCTTAATTCAAATAAAATTTGATAATTAATTTATGAACATGTGGACCGTACAGAATATTTTCTTGGGGATTTGAGGGGAAAGGAATTTTAATGGTAACAACCTCTTTATGGCCTTCATATATCAAATTAAGGGCAAAGTGAGCTGAATCTAGGCTAGAGAGCAGAGTATATAAATTTAGAAGTCTGAGTTGGTCATATGATGACCCATGTTAGAGTATGGATGCATGCATATTGTATAGTTTGTCAACAAAGAAATACAAATCTGATCAGGTTATCAAGTGGTTGCCATGATCATATTGTGTCACCAATTACTTATGCAGGTGTTCACATGTGGAGACAATTCATCGTTTTGTTGTGGCCATAGAGATACAAGCCGCCCTATTTTTAGACCAAGGCTTGTCGAAGCAATGAAGGGGATTCCTTGTAAATGGGTAGACTGCAATAATTGGATCTTTAACTTCTTTATATCGTGAGTTTCATTGACCCAATCTTCTTTTTTTAACTTGCCCCCATTTACATTCAGGTGGCAAAAACAATGTAAATTTGTTTGACTCTTTGATATTCATGATGAATGTGTTTTACTCAATCTAATTTGTTTTTCTGTCCAGGCAAGATGACTACTCTGTGAAAACTTTTGCTCATTGGAAACCCTTTGCGAACTCTAGGCATTGAGGGAGTTATTTGTTGTATAAGTTCAGCGCTAGTGTTAGTCAACGGATATATATTTTTTTCCCTTTAGTTCACCAGTTTCTGGACCTACACCTGCTGTGTTGAGATATCTTAGAAGTAGACTTTCTGAGGGTGAAGGTAGATTTATTTTCAATGCACATTCAACATAATATCCTTTTAGTTTATAGTCTTTATCTGGCATCTCTTATACTTCCTCCTCCTTGCTGCTGCCAGTGTTTAAAATTTTGATCAAATTTCAAATTGCCATGATTTCTTGTCCTCTAGCATTTGTTATTTCAAGTAATAATAACGAAGCTTTGGTTGTAGATGAAGCTAAAACTCCTGCCAAAGAGGAAGTAGTCACTATGGCAGCCCGATTGTCTCTCACTACAAAGGTATCTCCTTTACTATATCAACTTAAAAATTTGTTTTGAGATTTGACTCTGATCTTCTATCGGAATAAACTGTCTATTTTGTTTGTGATCTTATTACTCTGGATGTAGAACCTTATAGGTAGTTTCAACTAATTACTACCATCTACCCCTCTGAGGATATTGGCTGATACTTTTCATTTTCGATAAGTATAGACTTTGATTCAGATGAAGTAAAATAATCTGTGCATCCATGTTTGTGAATTGAGATAAAAGACATTAATATGTTGCTTGAAGCTTCCTAAGGACTTTTGCTTGTGAGATCAATTCTGTAGACGTGAAGTTTAGAGTTTATCCTTGATGTATTGTGTATGATCTCTGCCAGACTTTTAACCAATGACAGATGGGCATGGTAGGAAGCAGATTGTTCCTGCTTTCTTAAATCGTTATCTGGTTTAATTGATGATCTGCAACCCTCTGGTAACTCGTATTTAAATTTGCAGACTCTAATTTTATCGAGGAACAATATTAAAAACTGCCCGGTTGCAATTTTGAAGTCACTTTCCAATCTGTCTTGTTTGAAGCTGGACAATAATCCACTAAGACAGGTAAGCAGGTTTGAATGATGATTCTGTCTTGTACAACATAAATAAGATCATTTGGAAGGAACATGGAATTAAAAGTGTTTTGTAAAATTTTTCTTCTCCCTCAAATATTCTTTTTCGCCTGTCTTCTAATCCTTAACTGTCGAGGGAGCAATGCATGCTTGTGCACAGATAAAATATTCTAATTCATGATTGCCTCCTAGATACGTGGCAAATAAAATATGCCCAATTGATTACTGAATGCTATGTTCTTTCAATAATGGATCATCAATCTATGCATCAGATGACTGGATTGATAGGCACCGTAATCTCTGTCTAAAAACGTTGAAATAATCAATTATTGTGGGATTGGTCGTGTGTTAAGACATTTAAACTATTGCAATAGGTTGCTTATTTCAATTATTTGCTGCTAGGCTAGATTGGCTTTACGTAAAACTTTCAGGGGGACACGAAGACATATGAAACTAATAGCAATAATTGTTTCTGCATCTCAATACATTCATGTTCGTATTTCCACCTGTATGAGCTGAACTATCTCTTATTTACTTGATTATAGATTCCATCTGATGGATTCCAAGCAATCTCTATGCTTCAGATACTAGATCTAGGCAGGAATGCCGCATCATTAAGCTGAGCCACTTGTTATGAATTCTTCTTACAAATAAGTTTTGCACAATAGTTAGCATCAATTGCACGACTTTGATATTTGGCATAAACTAACTTCACTAATGGTTTATGAAGTAACATCCACTATATAACTTCTATAACTACTTGCTTTCTCTATTGATCACATGTGAATGTTCTTAGAGTTATCTGAAGTTGAAAATTCGTCTAAAATTCATTTTATCGAGTGATAAATTTTGTAGAGTGGCCATTCATCCCTAGTTTGCAGTGGTTTGTAAAAATACCATCTGGAAATAATTATAACTTTCCATCTAAGGCTTTCACATGCTAAAAGAAAGAACGTTATGTTTCTCATATCTCACTTTGTAATTATGGGGCATGAATATCAATCAGCGTGTCAATACTGGATTGACCCAAACATGTTAAGGTTTGTACTTTGTACTAAGACATATACCACATGTTT